CTATGGTTTTGAGGGCAAAAAAACTGTTTCCCCAAAAAAATAGAGCGTCACCCCCCCCCCGATGTCCCCAATGAGATGACATCACTTGCAGGTGACATCATCATGACGTACACACCAGAAGATCCCGACAAGCAGGCTGGAGCCTCCCCCCCACCTGGCCGCTGTTAAGGACCTAGCAACCCTAGTTCAGTACCATCATGGACCCCAAGGGTTTCTTGTCTACAGCCTTTTCTTGGGCCATGAACCTGATATCCTTTTGTGCTGATGATATGCTTCTCAGCCTGGTGGATGGAACCTGGAAATGTGAGATTCAGCATGTAGGAACTCAGAGACGGGTTTATGATAGGCATGCTGACTGCTTCATAACTTACCCAGTGTAAAGGTTGCACCTTGTCTAGATACGCTGATAAATAGGGTGAGGAAGGAGTCGGTGGTTAAGGTACATGTTGGGCCCAAGTGACATCATGAAATAACACAGCTGTGAAGTCATAGAAACCAAATTTAGGTTAGATAGTCTTTAGAAGTCCAAGCCCTCCAGGGCCACATTTTCAGAAATGCCTCTTGTTCCACATGTGAGACTAGTGAGGCTGGCAGAGCTGTGTAGATTCAATGTGTGAATGAAGGGTCAGTGTTGAAACAGTGAGTTTGATTTGCTGGGGCACTAGGAAACTTTTGGTGACTTGTATAATAAAGACAATGGCTCCACTTGAAGGACAATAGGACCAGACCAGCCTGTACCATCAAAAGAGTCTGAAGAGCAACTTTTGTATCTTTGTTGGGGAAAGCCAACACGAACTTTTGATTATTTGGTGGGCTACGAAGGAGAGAAGTACAGTTATCATTTGGGGCTTGTCTGTAGGTCTACATTGCTTCCCAAATTGACATCCTGCCTACGCTCTCTTAGCCTTTCTGACAATCTCTGCCAGGGGACCTTGTCATATTTATTAAAATTTTCTGACTGCCTTTTCCCAGGCAGTGGGCCCAACGTGGTTCACAAGAAGATGCAACAGCATACTTAACACTAAAACTATACCATCACCAAACATCACACATCATTTGGCAGAAGAAATAACACAGTGTTATGCATAAAAATCAACTAGATACAAACCTGTATATCACCCAGATATCAAACAAACAGCAAAAATCCCTATGAAACAACAAAAAATTTAAAGCACTCCTCAATATGGACAAACTTCCATATTCGTATTCGTAACTTCCAATGAAAGTCCATTCCAAACACCAGAGCAACCACTAAAAATATTCTGGAATAGGTCAATACAGATCAAACCTTTCAATAGGAAGGAATTGAAAGAAAAATGTACAGGAGGAGAGAGTCCTTCAGATATGGGGGTTATGGGCCGTAAAGGGCCTTAAAGGTCAAAACCAGGGCTATTTTTGGGTAGGAATGCACAGGAACGGAGTTCCGGCTAGTTTCAGAGTTGGCCACGCCCACTACAGCCAAAACCTCTGCGTGCGTGGCTACAAAGGGAAGGTCTGGAGAGTGACCCCCCCCCAGTGACTCCAAGATGGGCGGGCCTGGGGGAGCCCTGGAAGGATCAGGGAGGCATTTAAATGCCTCCCTGTGCCTTCCCTGGCCTGTACAAGGGCCAGCTGCAGTGTGCCCGGGGAAGCGGGGTGCTTCCCTCCAAAGGCCGGCTTGCCCAGGCTCCCTGCAGCCGCGCTGTCAGCGGTGTAGCCTAATATGCTAATGAGTTTCTGCTGTTGGGTGTGGCCTATTATGCTAATGAGTTCCTGTTGGGCTTTTTCTACAAAAAACCAGTAGTACTTTAATTGAACCTGGAAATGTGTACACAGACAATATAATTATTTCAAAGTTAAGTGTAATATGGCAGAAATAATTTCTTTTCATCAGCAGATAAGCCACAGCGTTCAGAATCAAGTGAAGTTTCTGAGATGTCTTTAAGGGCTACCCCTGCTGGAGCGCATTGTAATAATCTAGCTTTGTAGCACTATGCGTCAGTATGACCAGGACAGCTCATTCTAGGAATCTCCCTTATAAATAAAAGCCGAATGGTGGTGGCACTTCTCTAGAACATTCCACACGCTCCAAAATCAGTTTTCTTTGATCTTTCTCTCTGATCTGTCATTCAGAGGGTCTCCCTATCCACTGGCTGCTTTGCCTTGAGTCCTGCCTCCAACATTCTAAACAGTTTTCTCTTCCTCTCCCCGTCCCACAGCCAGTCAGAACACAGAGGTTATTTGCATATGCAGCCTCATTGGCCTTTGCCAGAGGTCGTTTGCATATGCGACTTGATTGGCTTTTGCCTCTAACATTCTAAACAGTTTGCTCTTCTGAGGTAAAATGTGTCCAATCTCCAGGTGAGGGCTGGAGATCACTCAGAATTACAACTGCTTTCCAGATGGCAGAGATCAGTTCCCCTGGAGAAAATGGTGGGCTCTGTATCCTTATATGCTGCTGAGGTGGCCCCCGTATGACAGCCAATGTGACGTAGCAGTCAGGGCTTCAGAGCACGGGAGAGGCTGCAGGTGTGTGTGTGGGGGTGGAAAGCTGAAGAGTGAGGGGGAAATAAAGGTAGGTTGATGATTGGCTGGGAAGGAGATAGGGTTGCCAACAGACAGGTACAAAGCCATAGACTCCACCCACCAAACCAACTATTCCCTTCTGGGGAACCATTGTTGCCAATCTCCAGGTGAGGGCTGGAGATCACTCAGAATTACAACTGCTTTCCAGATGGCAGAGATCAGTGCCCCTGGAGAAAATGGTGGGCTCTGTATCCTTATATGCTGCTGAGGCGGCCCCCATATGACAGCCAATGTGACGTAGAAGTCAGGGCTTCAGAGCACGGGAGAGGCTGCAGGTGTGTGGGGGGTGGAAAGCTGAAGAGTGAGGTGGAAATAAAGGTAGGTTGATGATTGGCTGGG